ATCGCACATGTAGTCTCGTACGAAACTTCGCAAATGTGTTAGCGTTCTTTTTCTTGAGGTACAGGGACACTGGCTTCATAATTAACCCACCTGTATGTGACGAAACACAACAGACCTTCCAGCGATGGTCAAATGGAAAATGGGCCCAAGCTCTCCTACACAACAATTCCTTGACCCGATCCACAGACCCCAACGCAGACGGAATAACCAAAGTATTTGACCAATTCGTTTACTTGCACAGTCGCATAACTCACCGTGTTCTGGAAAGATAAGAGTGATCGTTTTTATGTTATCAGTGAGATATCCCCACATTTGTCAAGTGCAAATGGTAATGCATACCGTAATTTGGTCGAGCAACATTCAGAAACCTGGACAGCATACACCAAAGGATATTTTGGGTTCGATACTCCACAGTGTGGCTCACGTCCGCCGCGAACAGGATTGGTACTGAACGGCGCGATGTGTGTTGAAAACCTTTCAAACATTGCACTGGCTTGTTAGCATTCTCAGAATACTCGATACGTTTTGCCCAACCACGAGCAGAATGATCACTGTTCAAGGAAAATCAGGGAATGACTTGGAAGCAAAACACGGACAGTTGTCGCTTCATATCCTGATGAAGACCTCAAGATATGCCACACAGATGGTCAGACACGTTTGTGTACATGGCCCAATAGCTACCGCAAAAGTCGGTTAATCGCCCGACCCCTGTGAAGCGTAGATTCAGGGATATGATTAGCTGCCAGACCACCTGATGGTTCCGGGGACACATTTAGTGCGACCTTAAAGTTCAGTTGAAATCGTGTGAGCTCCTTATCCAGCTGCTGTAATCCGTGGGCGGAGTGAGGTAGGAGTTATGATATCAGCGATTACTTGAAATTGTTAAGTGAATATAACAATGACACGGGTGAGAAATGCATTCCTCTTCTGATGCCTGTAGGGTTGCCGGGTGTATGGCACTCAGTAAAAAACCAAAGGCCACAGTCTGAGATAAATCGAGTGTCGTCCTTGTCAGATTGTTCGTTCCAAACAGTTATGTGGCTCATCCAGTTGATTGTGCCTAGGCCGGAAAAAATGATCTTGATCCACAGAAGCCTCATTGGAATTTCTCGATGTCCACCAACATACAAAAGAGTGCACAATGACAAGCATATCAGCACCAAGTCATTACGACAAGTTTTGATAAAATCACACGATTTACTGCAAACAAAATTTGTCCTGTTGACTAGTGAGGAAACTATTTCGAAACCAGGTAGAATGGTTAAAACAACCGGCTCCCAAATGCACTGCTTGCTATGAACTTCTCGGACATGCTTGAAAAAGTTGTAGGTTAAACGTCACAGCTTCTCACCAAAATATGATAGAATAAAAGGCTAGTTGATGATGCATAATTTGCGTAAAACAGACACTGTAGAATACGTGATGTACTCTGGGAAGCCCAACTGAGTGATGTGCAAAATCGCAAGTCAAGAATTAAGGGAGATTTATTAACAAAATGCGGTACTGTGTACAAAATGTGTATATGAAAGAGAGACAAACGTCATATTATGGATATTTCCGTCTAATTTTTGCACAGATTGGTGCAAGTTCAGACAAAACCCGGTAGGAACGGTAAATCGACATGAATTACCAAGAAACGCGCGCTCTCAGCACGTGGTAACGCAAGTGGTCAAAAAGCGCGCCGGAAAGTTTTTCGACATGTTAAGTGTCGAATTGTGGGTGAGGTAGGCGCAGAAAACAGTGGGTTCCAGCAAGGGAGGGCATTGACAATGAGGAAGGAAGTACAGGCACTGTAATCTCATTTTCATCAAAAATTGCAAATGAAATAAATATGCAGGTGAGTTAATCAATGATTTTTATGATAATCGCGATTATCTTCTAATGAGTGGTCGCCCCCCCGCGACCCACTTGCACAGACATCCCATATGATAACAGCAAAAGTGATCTGAACTCAATAGTGCCGGTAACTCCGGGAGCGAAAAGTCTGACCAACCATGTCTCGTATTTCCTGCGTACGTTGCTTGAGCTGAGGAAGTCCGCTGCCATCCTCCCGTAACACGATAGCAACATGAACACTGTAGGATCGGAAGCTCCGAAGGTTGGCTGGATGCCATATCAACTAAATGGAACAGGTAATGAAGCATCAAGTATCTTTAGGGTAAGCAATTTCCATGCGTTTCATATTTAGCCAAGCTTGATATAAACGGAGGATTTACAACTGCTATTCTGAGCTTACTGCTAACTAACTCGTAAAAATGAGTGTAGACGCACTACTGGCTTGATGCACAGTAGAAGCTCAACGCGCATTCGTACGAACGTTTACTCTTTTTCGATATATCCGATCTGTTTGTGGTAAACTTAGTGGGCTGTTTTCTCTTGTAATCCTTCAAAAATATTACCAGCATCTTTTGTCAAATGGCTTAAATTGACCTTCTCTGAGTAGAAAGCCCGGTTCAACTTGACTCTTTATTTCAATGGCCGCCATAAGCCGACTAAAATTGCGTATACTTCACCGCCTGGATACTTGGATTGTCACTTGTTTTAAAGCCTGTCATCGTCCAGACAAAAAGCTGTGCTGATGTGATTGGGGGTCGCTCCGTTTATTTCGGCACTTGTAAGTTGGTAGTCGCCATCCGTCACTCTGTATACTCATTACAGTGAAACGTACAATGAACATTCTGAATGAAGTCACCCGTATCATCCCCCGAATGCATGGCATCACAAACCGTAGCTTGGTATTTAGTTATTTATACCAAATCCGGTACTCGTTTCATCCGACAGAGAACTGGAGCATAAAACAAACAGTCAGTTCGCTCCCAATACATGGTGGGATACCTTGATCCACCGGCCCTATGAGCCCTCATAAGGCCGTGGAATCAATTCATTTGCTGTAACTAAACATACTCTGAGCACTATCTAAAAGGGCAAACAAGCATTTGTAGCAACAGGCTCACATTCCTTTTCATGACGGTCGAATGTGTAATTTCTTCCATATCCACCCTTACTACTGAATCCGCGTAAGTAGGTAGAACAGCTAGCTCACAACAGGGGTCGCCAACCTTTGAGGATGATACACTCAGGTAGGAACAAAAAGACTGATTTCGATAATCACGTGCCCTGAGACCGACGAAGACAGGTAATTTAAGTAGGTAGAACAGCTAGCTCACAACAGAGGTTAGCAACCTTTGAGGGTAGGAACAAAAAGACTGATTTCAATAATCATGTGCCCTGAGACCGACGAAGACATTAATCGTGTTGTGAATCGATGGCAGTAATTTCTCTCCATGATCTCATCCACTGAAACTGGCAACATCCCGTTCCGCCTGCAGAATGTCCCGCAGCTGTGAGTGGACTTGGAGATAACATTAAACATACAACATAAAACATGTACCGAGTTAATGAAAGGAAACACTGCTTATCCTGCACCCTATTTGGAATCTGGGCACTTCCTGGGATTAACAATTACGGATAGAGCGCTTCAGTTTCCACCACAATGGGTTAGATTTTTCGATATCGACCAGGATAAATACTCTGTCCTTGAAAGACCATATCGTTACCTTGCGTTGGTCTCGTATAATCCGGTAGTCAAATCAATCATCCTGGTTTGGATCTGGAACCTCAATCAGGATGTAATGTCGTTGAAATGACCGTTAAGAAAACTTAGTCCAATTCTACTTTTCTACCTCCAAAAGTTTCGAAATCGATTGAGGAAAGAAATGCTTACCAAAGCCCGTCCGGAAGANCATACCCTGTCTCCTTACTTACAACTTGGTCTACGTTGTGTACACCGGATTACACGGCTATCGTTGCCGGACAGTCGTGGACAAAATGTTAGTTGGGTGACAGTCGGCACGGAAGTCAATAACTGTATGCCAGACTGCTCCACTCTTGTGATCCAAATACAGTAACCATCATTAGAAACAACTCCGTGGAAACTGTGCTTGCGTTACATACGGGTGGATGTGAGATGCTGAACTTTTAGTGTTATTCCAATTCAAATAGGATTAGTCATCATTTGCCGTTGGCGCACTGGCTTTAATCCCGATGCGAATATTCGTTATCATAACTGCCAAGAAGAGATTTCGGGTACGTGGTCCGAGACGGAATTCATTTTGCCCACTAGGATCGCAGGAGACCTGTACAGTCGGTACATTAGAATTCAGCCATATCATGCACACCACATGCGGCAGTTTGCAGATTACTTCCGGTAATCTTCACTCGATCAGACCTCAACTGTGACGTTGGAAAAAACATCGGGAATCATTCTCAACCCATCAGCGATGAATCACTCGGATTGCCGACTGATCCCAAGTTTCCGCAACATTGACAAGCCAGTTTCTACGTCATACCAACAGTTCGGGATACGCCTTCTCTACAATGGGAACCTTCGGCCACAACCGATCGACATCATAAGACTGAAAGCGTTATAAAAAGAAGAATAATCGTCCAGCCGTAATACCCTTTCTGTGCCTACCTGCAATGCCAACAGACGAAAGCACTAGGGCTGGGATACTGACAGATTGCCCGAACCTGGAGAGGATGTTGGTGTTGGGTTCGAACCACACGGAACTTCCAGTCAGCTCGTCTTAGTAGTCCCAAGGTCATCCCCGCTTCGATCCACAAAATGCTTGTGAAAACAAACATCGTAAATTGTGTAGCTGTAGCACCTTTCCGTCGCCCAACGGCCACATCACTCCAAGGGCTGGGATGCTGCCAGGTTGTCCAAGCCTAGACAGGGGAAGTCGAGAGGCATGAGACGGGCCTTCCGGTCAGTAAATTCGCGCTCTAACCACTTGGGTCACCTCGCTCAAAACAAATGACCCAATGACGTCATTTGATTTCACTGACTAGCCTAAACAAAATGAGGGATAGAAAAATCCGTAATCCTATCACACTGGACTGTAAAAGTCCAGGGGTCCATAATCTCACACCCGATATTTCACCTACACTGAAGCCCATAAGGCGCTCAAGGCGTGAGAACAAAGGTTAGATAAGGTGTAAAAAAGAATTCTAATTGTCATGTTCGCATTGGTCAAAAGCAACAAGAAGTACATAGATCGGCGGGAAATTGTCGAGTGAAGGATGAGGAATGTCTACTGAAAGGCACTGCATTCTTCTTCGTCTCTGTATTGCAGTTTGCTTGTTTCCATGAAACAGCAGCCATAACGAAGATCAAGGAGGACTTTTAGTAACTCCTGAAGATAATCAAAAGGCATGGAGGGTCGTACTAGGACGCCTTCGAATGCATCCACATCCAACAAACGGACCACTTGGGAAATGTGGTTGTTCAACAACTTTCGCGAGACTTTATGAAATGGCCTTGTAAGATAGTCTTCTGGGATGGAAACTGTCAAATCCCGAAATATTTGGTTTAACTGGGAAAATTTGCGCACGGATTGCTGTTGAACCGTCGACAGGCAGGAACAAGCTCCTCTGTTCAGCCGTGCGATGTTTCTGTTAGAATCTGAAACGATTGCTTGACGACACTGCAAGCAGCGGAGGTTTATAAGCTCACCAGCACCAAACCAGCCTCCCACACAGGCGTCACACTGACAAGTGAAATGATATTGTTCAAGTAGTGATCGTCGACGTGCTTTAAGTGGATGAGTAGCATAATGATAGCCATAGTTACTGAGAAGTGCCTCATTCCGCTCTATGGCGTGCAGCGCAAACAGGCCACAGGAACCGTCAGCCATGTAGACCAGATTCACGTTCGGGTTGCAAGAATGATTGACCAAAGACAACAACGGGAAAAGCCCACTTCCAATGGAGAATGGGACAATGTCGGTAAGTATTACACCTTCGGAAAGTGAACCATTCGGACAATCAACTTGTGGTTCAGAGTCGGACCGGTTGAAGTAAGCATCAACAGAGAACGTGTGTGCATTGGAAGCGACCGCTTGAATGTGATGCAAGAGACAAGCGCAAGCCCACGATGCAGGAAGTAACTGACTGCATGGCATGCCTGGCTTCTGAATAGGATCTCGAAAGCAGCCCTCGCTCCAATCGAGTGGGTAACCACCATGCTGAAAAAGAATCAGGGACAGAAAACAGTGAATGAATGAAACAAGGAAAGTAAATGCCACCATTATGATTTAAATAACTGAGCAAATACCTGGTTCGCCCCACCTGCTTCCTTCCTTGTAGGTGAGCAGAAAAGATAACGCGAGAACCCTCTTAATGAAGACTACCGTAATGCCTCACTGAGACAGAGGGGATCTCGGACAAGGTACGGGTCTTAGAAAAGCCCCATGTAAAGAGGCAACCAACCCGCGAATTAACGACGAAGTTCAAACTCTTATTCAAATGGCTGCGGGGTTGTATTTTCTCCCTATAGATTCACAAAAGAATGATATGCCGGCTTAGTGCATACCAGCATATTCCACCGACAAAGCATATTGGTACTATGTGGGACGAAGAGCAAGTGCCTGCAG